CCATCAAACCGCATCTGTGAGCGGCTGATACTGCTCGGTTTCCTTTCACTCTTCACGCTCAGCTCGCCTCCTCCTCACCAAAGATCTCACCTGTAGAGGTTCAGCTTTCAGCTTCTGATTCCTGAGCATCACTGTGTTGGATCACGTGTGTCTTTTGGATGCACCGATACCTGATATGCAATAAACGCAGCACTCTGGAAAATCTAATCACACGTGTTTGTAGATTTATGGACAGATGCCAAAAGTATCCTGAATACATTTTTGTTTTCCTCGACATTTGGAAAAGTAAAGATTGTTTGATTTTCTCCCATGAGGACAAAAATGCCTTTTGTTCAGTAATCTGTACTATTATTTCATTAAAATGATAGTATCCTTCTGTTTATGTGATGTTTATATTTATTGTTAACAGTGTTGGCTGAATTTACTTTTTACATGTGGAAATGTGTAACTGGCTAGTTCTGCAATAATGCATGCATTTGCCTCTGAGTGTAATTCATTCTTTTGCACACACCAAACCAAACCATACATTTTTCTAATTTTAACAGTTAATGAAGGCATTTACGATGAAATTAACGGCATTAAAATACTAATTGTTGCATCTGGTCAATTTGCTCAACCAGTTAACCGATTGAAAGGTAACTTCATGCTTTCGTTCTTTTTTAAACACAGAAACAGTTTTGTTTACCTGTTTGTAGCTACGGTTTCGCCGACAGCTGCCGGCTTCTTCAGGCTGACGCTGATGGTGGCGCGTCACTTCCTTCTCCGTTTATGTAATCAGAACATTATATCACCGAGCAAACATAATAACAGAAGAGAGAGACCGTAAACAAGAGGACAAACACATACAACACGCTTTAAAGACCTGCAGATACCCGACATGGGCAAACAAACAAAGGAAAACAACAAACAAAAACAGAAAGCAAAGAACAACCCAAAAAAAAAGAACCAGAAACCCAGAAAGAAGAGAACCAAAACCAGTGATAACCCTACCATACATCAGAGGCATAACGGAAAAAATAAGAGCAACAATGAAAAAACACAACATAAACACACCAACAAAGCCATACACAACAGTTAGAAACAGACTAGTACACCCAAAAGACAAAATATCAGCTGGACAAAAATGTGGAGTCATCTACGAAATCCCATGCAAAATATGCAATAAAACATACATAGGAGAAACCGGACGCCAACTCAATACACGGACAATAGAACACAGAAAGGAGTGCGAGAAAGAGGCAAATCGTAAACACACAAGAGCAGCAAAAGAAGAAGCAGAAAGTACGATAAAAAAGTCAGCCGTAACAGATCATTGCTTAAGAGAAAACCATATAATGGACTGGGACAGCACACGGATCATAACCACTGAACAACAAAAATACAAAAGATGGATCAAGGAAGCAATCGAGATAAGGAGACGTGGATGTGGGACCATGAACAGGGACGACGGAGTTTACACGCTGGACCACGCATGGGACTGCATCGTCGGAGAGGGGAGAGCGGGCAGTAGAGGGCGACAACGTCCTCTGCTGCCCGCAGATAAACGGAGAAGGAAGTGACGCGCCACCATCAGCGTCAGCCTGAAGAAGCCGGCAGCTGTCGGCGAAACCGTAGCTACAAACAGGTAAACAAAACTGTTTCTGTGTTTAAAAAAGAACGAAAGCATGGATTTACAAAGACACAGCAAGAACACACATAAGATGAAAGGTAACTTATTTTTGACCAAGACTTTAGTTCACGGAGCAGACCTGAAGTATCTCTCCCTTTAATGTGATATTATATAAAAGGCAGGAATACATTCCTTAGAAAATGTTGTCATATGCTTACAGCATAGTGGAAAAGCTAAATCCAAAATATGAGCGTGCACGTCGCTATTTTCTTCATTTTTCTGCAATGAAAATATTTATAAATCATGCAAAATATTCACAATCTCAGAGTTATCAATAACACTTCACATTAAGGGTCATTTTATTAACGTCATTTTTAAACTATTAACTATTACATAAAGTATTAACAACTGCTTAATAGTAATGTTAATATTAAGTAATGCATTACTAAGCAGTTACACACCGTATGCCCCTTTGTCATAACCTTGAGGACACCTAAATGTTAATACTGGGAATGTTAATAAAGGAATCCTTTGTTTATTAATGCTTAACAATGCCCTAAGTAACATTAATAAAGGGATAATTTGATTATTAATGCTTAACAATGCACTGAGAAACGTTACTAAAGGGATCCTTTGTTTATTAATGCTTAACAATGCACTAAGTAATGTTACTAAAGGGATCCTTTGTTTATTAATGCTTGACAATGCACTAAGTAATGTTACTAAAGGGGTCCTTTGTTTATTAATGCTTGACAATGCCCTAAGTAACAGCAATAAAGGGATCATTTGATTATTAATGCTTAACAATGCACTGAGAAACGTTACTAAAGGGATCCTTTGTTTATTAATGCTTAACAATGCACTAAGTAGCATTAATAAAGGGATCCTTTGTTTATTAATGCTTGACAATGTACTAAGTAACATTAATAAAGGGATCCTTTATTATTAATGCTTAACATTGCACTGAGAAACGTTACTAAAGGGATCCTTTGATTATTAATGCTTAACAATGCACTCAGAAACGTTACTAAAGAAATCATTTGTTTATTAATGCTTAACAATGCCCTAAGTAACATTAATAAAGGGATCATTTGATTATTAATGCTTAACAATGCATTGAGAAACGTTACTAAAGGGATCCTTTGTTTTTTAATGCTTAACAATGCACTAAGTAATGTTAATAAAGGAATCCTTTGTTTATTAATGCTTGACAATGCACTAAGTAATGTTACTAAAGGGATCCTTTGTTTATTAATGATTGACAATGCCCTAAGTAACAGTAATAAAGGGATCATTTGATTATTAATGCTTAACAATGCACTGAGAAACGTTACTAAAGGGATCATTTGATTATTAATGCTTAACAATGCACTAAGTAGCATTAATAAAGGGATCCTTTGATTATTAATGCTTAACAATGCACTAAGTAGCATTAATAAAGGGATAATTTGTTTATTAATGCTTGACAATGCCCTAAGTAACAGTAATAAAGGGATCATTTGATTATTAATGCTTAACAATGCACTGAGAAACGTTACTAAAGGAATCCTTTGTTTATTAATGCTTGACAATGCCCTAAGTAACAGTAATAAAGGAATCCTTTGTTTATTAATGCTTAACAATGCCCTAAGTAACATTAATAAAGGGATCATTTGATTATTAATGCTTAACAATGCACTGAGAAACGTTACTAAAGGGATCCTTTGTTTATTAATGCTTAACAATGCACTAAGTAATGTTAATAAAGGAATCCTTTGTTTATTAATGCTTGACAATGCACTAAGTAATGTTACTAAAGGGATCCTTTGTTTATTAATGCTTGACAATGCCCTAAGTAACAGAAATAAAGGGATCATTTGATTATTAATGCTTAACAATGCACTGAGAAACGTTACTAAAGGGATCCTTTGTTTATTAATGCTTAACAATGCACTAAGTAGCATTAATAAAGGGATCATTTGTTTATTAATGCTTGACAATGTACTAAGTAACATTAATAAAGGGATCCTTTATTGTTAATGCTTAACAATGCACTGAGAAACGTTACTAAAGGGATCCTTTGATTATTAATGCTTAACAATGCACTGAGAAACGTTACTAAAGGGATCCTTTGATTATTAATGCTTAACAATGCACTGAGAAACGTTACTAACGGGATCCTTTGATTATTAATGCATACCAGTGCACTAAGTAACATTGTTAAAGGGACCCTTAATGCAAAGTGTTACTGAGTTAACAGTATAAATCATCCAAATGAAAAAGGTTTATCATTTGTTTAGTCTACAGTTAAATATTATGTTTTATCGATGATAAATTTTTATAGTTTTGGCACAAAAAATATCAATAAGAGATGCAACTGGTCAATAGTCCAGGTCACATTAATTAATTTGACTGTAATGTTTGCAGTGTTGCAACTTCAGAACTTGATATTACATAAATGAACTAAATTTGCAGGCGTGGTAATATAATAAGAAAAGCAAAGAAATTTGTGGGAAATATCTAAAAAAAAGGTGCATCAGTCCCTCTAAGCAAATGAGGGACCCTCTAAGCACGAGGGTAAAAAGAACAAATCACTTTCTTCCTCTTAACTGTGAACTATGGACCTATCATAAATACTCTCCATTAACAGTGTCAGAAAAACATTAGGCTTTTATTGGGGCTGTATTTTCTTCACATACTACTATAAAGTTAATGACGAGCATTGTCTAATCCATAAAACTGTCATATATTTTGGAGACGCTGGTCAGCTTCAACAAGGCTGAATGAAAATTCATAAATAAAGATTCAATGTGCTGAGTCGCTTTGAACAGAAAATACACACTCCTTTGTGTTGTCTTTTCGCCTCTCTTACAAACTAGGTTAATATTTTTCAATATGAAAATATCATATATATATATATATATATATATATATATATATATATATATATATATATATATATATATATATATATATATATATGCTGATTGCATGGGAGTTAATGATCCCACATATTGCTGCAATTATTGTCCATAAAAAGTGCCAGTGTTTGTTAATCAACAGAGAAAAGAGAAAAAAAATAACTGTCTGTAGGTCTGTGGAGATTAAAGCCCTCATGTTATTATTTTCTATTTTCTATTTGCTCCTTTGTATCAGAACAAGACAAACACACCACACATCTGTCCAATGAAAAATGCTCATGTCACTATTGTCTATAACCTCTAGGTGGCGACAAAGTTTTGTTCTAGTTTGACAACGGTTACAAAAAATCAATCCTAATTTATACTAAAACCAAAACCTGACCTGAACCTTTATGTAATATTCATAATTGTATTAATGACTAGAGGTGTGTATTTATCATATGTTATTACAAGCTGTTATTTTGCTGTTTGTGTGTTTTAAGGGAGAAATTGTCAATAAAATGCGCGCACACTTGGCTGAGGTAATCACGTGACCTCCCCCATGTCTCCGCCCTTCTCAGGAATCAGCAAAATGGAGGTGAGATGTTATCAATTGTCGCAAATTAAACTCGTAAAAATATGCAAAAACAAGGACAGCACGGTTTCAGTAGTCTCTTGTCACACGAGTCTAATTTGTGACAATATATTTGTTCCGTAAAGTCATTTGTGTCTTGCCTGTAGGTCGCTGGACTCTTATTTCATATTAGCTATCGTGGAAGCTAATGCTAATGGTTGCTAACGCTTTGGTAAAAAATATGAATACATACGATATTTCTGGCTTTTGCCCGCCCCAAACACTGTCTATGCACTACACACGGATATATCTATATGCATATATTTAATTTTTAAAGTTAAACTGCTTTTTTCCTAAAGCATTTTAATCGAAGCCGTCAAAACAGCTAACCATTTCGACAGCAGCCATTTTAACACAATGTTTGTAAACGCCTTTCTAATCACATTAATCTGTGAAAGCATGTTTAAACTTAGGGTAAATTTCATTAAATTCATTTATTCCTTCAGTTTTCTTCAAATTGTTATCCGTTAAATCCATTCAGTGTAGCAGAAACTGGGATTAATTCCGACCCGTCAGTCAGGAGTTAATCCTTGTAGTTTGCACAGTATTTATGTATTTTAACTACACACACACACACACACACACACACACACGCGCGCGCTTGTCATGAAACAGCCTTTAGTAATCTATAGATAGCAGGTTTCTGGGGCGTTACTTGGCTAAATACTCTTCTAGGGAAAAGGGATCAAATTTTCACCCATCAGGAAGCGTTTTATTCATAAAGCAATTTTTTTATGGATTAAATAAAATTATGAAAAGATTTAGGTTTTATGTAAAGGAAACATCAGAATCAGACATCACACATTTGCAGTAACCACTTTAAATAATTTTTTGTGCCTAACTTAAATGTTAGGGGGTTGTCCATTCGCATTTGTTGTGTTATTTGCTGCAAATTCACTTTTTATTTTGTTTTTATGACAGGATTGTGAATCTAAAGAACCCGAGCAGCTTCGAAAGCTGTTTATCGGAGGCTTGAGCTTTGAAACCACCGAAGAGAGTTTACGAGCCCATTTTGAGCAATGGGGATCTCTTACGGACTGTGTGGTTTGTAGCTTTGTCATAATCTTTGAAACAACAGTGCCACATAACATGTCAGTATTGTAACTGTCTCTTTCTTGTGTTTTAGGTGATGAGGGATCCCAACAGCAAGCGGTCAAGGGGTTTTGGTTTTGTAACATACTCTTCTGTGATGGAAGTTGATGACGCCATGAAGGCGAGGCCTCATAAAGTAGATGGTCGTGTTGTTGAGCCCAAGAGGGCTGTGTCCAGAGAGGTAAATGCATACATTTCATACCAGAAAAGGAAAAGACGAATGTCATTTGGAGGTTGATGCATTTTACATACATTTTAGGACTCTAACAAACCAGGAGCACACATGACGGTAAAGAAGATTTTTGTGGGCGGTATCAAGGAGGACACAGAAGAGCACCACGTCCGGGATTATTTTGAGAGATACGGGAAGATCGAATGCATCGACATCATGGAAGAACGCTCTACAGGCAAGAAGAGAGGATTTTGCTTTGTCTCCTTCGACGACCATGACACCGTTGACAAAATCGTCGGTATGCTGCTTCTGAATTTTCGGTGTTAATTGTAGGTAAACATAAAGCGGTTTGTGATCGACCATTATTATTATTCCTTACAGCCCAGAAATTCCACATAATCAACTTTCACAACTGTGAAGTCAGGAAAGCTCTGTCAAAGCAGGAAATGAACTCAATATCCAGTAATCGTGGTAAGCATGGCATCAAATGAACATGAAGGCAGGCCCTACTATTATGGTGGGTGCTGTATTTAGTTTGGAGTCTAATAGAGTCCTAATTCTGTTTCTAAAATTACCCCCCCCCCCCCCCCCCCCCTTTCATAGGCAGAAGTGGAGGATCTGGAAATTTCATGGGCAGAGGTGGTAACTTTGGAGGAGGTGGAAACTTTGGTCGAGGTGAGCTGACTTTTACAAACGCAGCTCAGGAGTTTCATGTTGTTAAGATTTATTTGATATGACTCTATTATTTTTTTGTTAGACCTGTGAAACTGGCAGTATTTCATCTGGTTTCATTTAATTGGCCTGTATTTGACATAGATTGTGTTTTTTCAGGTGACTTTGGAGGAGGGCGTGGCTACGGCGATGATTTCGACAATGGTATGAAAAGCACCTTTTAATGAAGTCTTACTCTGGCCTTTTTTCCTGATGCATAAGCTGAGCTTAACGTCTGCAAAGGGGCTGCCGTTATAGTCAGTGGGTGTGCTTCCGCCAGGCTCACAGAAGCTCACACATCCTCGAAATGCTCTGTTAAAATTATGCACCCGGTCTATTTTTTTATGAGCAATGCTTCCACAACGCATCAAACTCAATAGTTCAGGTTGGGTTAGCAGGGGTAGGCAACCCTGGTCCTTGAGCCACATTCCTGCTGTTTATTCCCTGGACCAGGTGTGTGCAGCCAATTAGAAGCTGCAAGTTCAATGGGTGTGATATTACCGCAATGGTGTGTTTTATAATCGTGTTGTGTCCAACCGGTGTTGTACAATTTTCTGCTACCATCTGATCCTCTGACTCCAGAGTGTGCCTAAAGTCAGGGGGTTGGACATTTTTCCCAAATGTAGCTTTTTTTTTTTTTTTTTTTTAACGGCTCTCCCCAAGAACGTAAATAATACTTTTAACCGTTAAAAACAAATGTTGTCACATTCATAGTGGACGTAAAAGGAACAGAAAATAAACCCCAGACCTTTTTAATAGAAGCTGTCATCTTTCTCGTGCTTGTTATAGGGAGCCTAAGTCTCCTTTTACGGTCGGCTCATGGGGCTGAAAGAGCCGTTTTCTGATCCACTTTGCCTTACGCTCTGGACCGCACATAAGTGGTACTTCAATTTAAATGAAAGGTAATGATGTGTGTTTCGACCACGCCTGTGTAACCCGGGTTATCTTCCAGGGTTATTGAGCCTAAATTCCTTTAAAAAATTCTCCATTGTTAGGAACCGTTTTTCGTTAGTATAAAAAATTACGAGGGTTACTTGAACGCAGCATGGAGCCGAGCTGCGCAGCCCTCCCCACACCGGAGAAAAAAAACGTTTTTGTCCGTTAGGCTGAACAGGTGAGCAGAAGTTCAGCTAACTGCCGTCAGCGATGCAATAGGTGACTGGAAGCTTCTAGAAATGTAAGGTTCATCACTTAAGAAGGGTTTAAGATTATTTGTGAGAAGTTTTTATTGAAACAAAAGTGTTTTATGATTATAGAGTGTGTTCGCTACTGAAGGAGGAGCCGTTAGAAGTAGACCTCGATTTGTTTTTTGAAGAAACCCTTTGGTGAGTTAATCTAATGTTTCATGGACTGAATGTATATGTAGATGTGAAACAAAGTAGAAAAAAATGTTGATGTAAGCTATGCTAAGCTATGTTCTGTGAAATATATGTATGTTTTTGACCATTTGTGACGGTCTCGTGTAGCCAGATTTTTAAGCCACCCGGCTAGCTGTTAGCTCAGTTTCTGTGAGTAGATGTGTTAAACTGTTGAGAAAATGAATTGTACACAAATTTCCTTTGAAGATAAGGTGATTTGTTTTGCTTTTATATTTATTTTGTTAATGAAATCTACTTTTCCAAGTATAGTTATTTTGTGAGTTTGGAAGATAATAGAAAACAGACAGTGACATTATTATAATTTTGTTGCATATGTTTTATGCAGGCTTGTTGATTGAGGTTTAAATCACCTTTTCCTGCCTGGAAAGCCAACACATTTAAAGACTCAGATGCACTGCTTTGGTCCACTGGGGAGGTATTAATACTCATGGGTGCCACATCCATGGCAGGATGTCTTCATCATATCCTGTCTCATCAAAGATGTGGTAGGATCATTTAAGACCTCTACACGATTCAAAGGACTAAGGTTTTTTTCCCTTCCTGAGTGAGGGTTTGGACACTTTTTTTGGCAACTTTCCAACATTTTAGTGGACTGAATTATCAATTTGCCCAAAAGCAAGAAGACTGTGTGACATAGTCCTGAACACTTTGTTAAAGGACAATTGGTTTTATTTATTTATTTATTTATTTATTTATGTATTTATTTATTTATTTTTTTATTGTCTATTTATTGATTGTTCAATTTTTATCATTCCTTTAAGAGCTCTCTAGGAGAGGGAATTTAGCATTTATTCCCTTTATGATGAATATTACAAATTGTTACATATTTCAATATATTTAATTTATTGAATTGATTGTTGTGTGTGTGGGTTGTGGGTTGGAGGTTTCAAACTTCAGGTAATGAGATACTACTGCTAAGAACCCAGAAATAGAGTTCAAAGGAACAAAAAGCAAGAAACCTTAGTAAATAAGACAGATTTGATCCTGTAGCTCCCACAACACTTTAACCTTGAAGAAGTATTCCACGCTGATATATTTGAATACACATACTCAGTCTTTCAGGGAGCCACAGGTTACAAAAAAATGGAGGTTCCACCGAGATTCTGGGTTGCAGTAGTCGCCTAATCCTCCACCCCATAGCACAACACTTTTACGTTGGTTTAAAACAAACAAGTATGGATCTTTGCAATCATTTTCATGTTGATGGTCAATGTTCTTTGTATGTGGAGGGTGTTGAAGACACTTGCACTAGTGAAGACATAGCAAGTGTTTTTGAAATCAATGGGAAGGTATCTAGAGTTGTCAGAATTCCCAATGAATCAAACAAGCCAGAGGGTAGAGCCCTGATAGAGTTCGAATCTGACAAAGCCATATCAAAGATAAATCCCCAAATCTTAGGCAGTTTTCCAAGCCCACTTAACCCTTCTGTTATCTGGTCTGCAAGAACAATACGTGACATTGCCCAGGAAGAAATCGGAAAAGAAATAGGCCAAAGATATCTTGAGGAACTGAAAGCTATTGGTGTCAAGGGGAAAGCGGGGTTCCTTAGCATTCTGCTAAATGAGATGCAGGGATCTCAAGAAGCCGTACCTCCGGTCTCTGATACCCGATTACCTACAGCAGAGGTTGGGCTTTACTCTATAAGTAATGAGAGTGGAGAACCTGTTCGAACTTTACCATGCCAGGGTGTACCTGACCCTGTTTTGGACCCAATCATTCTTGATAAAAATGTGTTCAACCCATCTTCTGTCCAAAAAGTTATTGTTGAACATGTTATCCGGAACGAGTCCCTTAATACATCCAACACCCCTACGCGGATACGTACCTTCTCTGGTCGTGTCCCGAGACCAAATGGGGAAGTAGACTATGATACCTGGCGCACTCAGGTGGACCTTTTAATGAGTGACTCTTCCTTGAATGATGTGACAAAAGTCAGAAAGATACTAGAAAGCTTGCTAAGCCCAGCTACTGATGTTGTTAAGATACTAGGGGTTTCTTCTCCACCTAGTGCTTATGTTATGCAGCTTGATGCAGCCTTTGGTGTGGTGGAGGATGGAGAGGAGCTGTATGCTGTTTTTTTAAGCTCAAATCAGAACAGCGGTGAAAAACCCTCAGCCTTTTTGAACAGACTGCACTGTCTTCTCACAAGAGCAATTTCTAGAGGGGGAGTTCCCCCTGGGAATCCAAATGAATTGATTCTCAGACAGTTCTGCAGGGGTTGTTGGGATCAAAGTCTTATTATTGGTCTACAGTTGGAGTACAAGAAAAATGATCCACCATCTTTCCCGAACTTGCTCCTTTCAATAAGGACTGAAGAGGATCGAAGATCTGCAAAGCTTGACAGGATGAAGAAACACCTTGGATCCGTCAAGACCACTGCACTCGCTCATTCAGTGCTTGACATGCCTCAATATGATATTGACTGTAGTTCAGCATCCAGTGCTAAAGAGAATAACATGAGCAAATTTCAAAAACAGCTCAATGAACTCTCAAAGCAAGTAGAAAAATTAAGCCAAGAGTCCAAGAAGCCAGCTACTGGATGTGAAATCTCTCCAGAGCCAACATTAAGACAAGCGGAAAATACTAAGCTAGAGAGCAAGATAGATGAGCTATCAAACCAGCTAAAACAACTGACTGAAGGTCAGAAGCTCAGCAAGGCAGGCAATTGTGATGGAAACACTCAATGTCTGAGAGTAACCAGTAACAGTATTAAGAACCCAGGGAAAGTTCTTAGCATGCCAAGGGCCTGGTTCTGTTTCAAATGTGGAGAAGACAACCACATTGCTGTCCGGTGTCCAAATGAACCGAACCCCATACTTGTTCACCAAAAGAATGCAGAATTAAAAGCAAGAAGGGAGAAGTTCTTGGCTCAACAGGCAGCCGAGCCTTTTTCTTTAAACTTGTAACAGCTCCTGCAGTGGGACTTCCAGGAGCTGGGACTGCAGAAATCCTACGTCCCAAAAGTTTTGTCTATAGTTCTGTAACCCAAGATGCAGTGGTGCCCCATGCACCAAACTTGACCAATGGTGCAAATCCAATGTTACCATCTGGGCTTGTGGGTCCTCATTGTGCAGCATCTGTCCTTCTTGAAGGGGTGCCGTGTGAGTCAATTATGGACACTGGATCCCAAGTCACAACCATTTCAGAATCCTTCTATCGAAGCCACCTTTCTCATTTGTCTGTGCAACCAATCCAGGCTCTTCTTGAAGTTGAAGGAGCAGGAGGACAGCATGTCCCGTATCTAGGTTACATCGAAGTATGTGTCACTTTTCCTTGTAATATTACTGGTCGAGAAGAAGAGTTAGCTGCTTTAGCACTTGTAGTCCCTGACTGTGCTTTTAATAACAGAATTCCCCTTCTGATCGGGACCAATGTGATGTTCCAACTACATGACAATCTCCTTGAGCACAGTGGTCCAAAATTCATACATCAGCTGTGTTCTCGAGATTTGACAATGGTCTTGCAGCATGTAGCTCATGCACAGAAGAGTGACAAATTTGTATATTCTGTGAAGCTGCATGGCGAAAATGCCGTCACTATACCAGCGAATCAAAAGCGTTGCATTATGGGTAATGTAAGATTAAAGAAACATGATATGAACAAAAATTTTGTTCTTGAACCACACAAACATCTTCACTTACCTGGTGGATTACTTCTTGAACCCGCATTGGTGGATACCCCTTTCATGACTAACGCTAAGATCCCCATAGTGTTGCGTAACCTGAGTGACCACAATGTGATGCTACGGCCGAAGTCCGTCCTTGCTCAGTTATGTGCAGCGCAACA